TAAATAAATAAATAATATATATATATATATATATATAATATATATATATATATATATATATATATATACATACATATATTTTTTTATTATTATTTTTCCTTTAACAGTACTCCTTATCCTACAGTTGATGCACATCATCTCTTAAAACATGTAAATTTGAATATTTTTTATAGGAAGTAAGACTGAAGTGTGGGTTTTACTTTAATAACTATACAGTTAAAATGAGTTATTCTCTTTATAATTAAAAAAAGTAAAGCAAAATCTTATTCAGTCCAAATATATTCGTGGATGACCGGCTAATCAGCGAAAGAAGAAGTAAAAGAAAGGCCTTCATAATTTCACTTACTCGATATTGGAGAGGACATCTCGTACAGCGACTGAACTGTACAGAGCAGGATTCTGAGGCTTGAGGAGGTAGTCTGTGGTTGACGTGTCACCCATATTGACAACTTGAAGTGGGACACCTTCAAGACGACTGAAAAATTTGTCAGATTATGTGTAAAGGTCATATTGGTATAGTAATAATATAAAAATCTATAATTGGAAAGTGGAATATCAATGTAAATTCAAGCTACAATGGGCTTATCATAATAAAACTAAAATGGTATCATACACTTTACAGTGTATGATACCATACACTGTAAAGTGTACATCATGAACAATTGCACTGTATAGAATCACTACAATACCTAGTTTTAACAGAAATCTTGATATTGACGTGTTTGTAAATTTAATTCATAGAAATGATTTTCTAATTGAATTGTTACATAAAATATTTTCAAAGAAAAGAAAAGAAGTGAAAAAAGTATGCACACTATGCACTATGTATGTAGTGCATATTTTTATTAGCAAAGCAATTAAATCACATTAACAATCATTTTACCATAAGATAATGCTTACTTGTTTTGAAGCATCATAAATTTATGGGAGACAGTAAACGTGCCAGAATCTACTGATGGAGAACATGACATAATGCCCATGATGAAATGCCCTCCAGTATGTGACATAACTGCTGCGAGCTGTTTGTGCACCAACATCTCACGAAGATACAAATCTTCACATGATGAACCTCGACAACGGTACCAGCCAATTACATTCTGAGAATCAATTTAGGATTACATTGTGTTCAAATGTAAGTATATACACATATGCATCCAAAAAAATGATATACAGAAATAAACACAACCACGCAAACTTATATATGCAATATATAACCACTGAAAGATGTAACTGAAAGTAGTCTCCTATTTGCAAAGATTATATAAAAATAACATTTTAATACCTTGAATTTTGGACCCATATAGGCATTTAATTTTTCTTCATTGAGTATACCTGCACCTGAGTAAAAGCTCCCAATCATGGTGCATGGTAGAAATGATGAGACATCTGTGAAAAAAATATAAATATACAGAGTAAAAACAAATGAAAAAATATATATAATAAATAAAAATCAAAATATATACACAAATGTAATCATACTTCTTAACCCCTTAAACTTACTGAGAATATTTAAAGAGAATCCAGTCTAAAAATAAATTGTATGCACAACAATAAATCTATGATAAAAGGTGATACAGTGATATATATAATATGTACCATATCATATATATATATATATATATTATATATATATATATATATATATATATATATATATATTATATATATATATACATATATATATATAATAAACTTACTAATAAGGGTTTCCATTTTCTCATTGCAGATCTGTGAGTCACTGATGTGTTCACTGATGTGACTCTGCACCTGACCCAACAAAAAGCCTTCCTGTGTGAGTAAAATTCAAGATATAAACATATAGCATGACAAAATAAAAAGAATAAAAATCATTATCAATCATCAATAATAATAACAACAATAACAATAACAACAACAATGATGATGATGATGATAACAATAATAACAACAACAACAAATAATAACAATAATAATAATAATAAAATAATAATAATAATAATAATAATAATAAATAATAATAATAATAATATAATAATAAGATAACAATAATAATAATAACAATAATAATAAAATAATAATAATAACAACAATGATAATAATAATAATAAAATAATAATAATAATAATGATAATGATAATAATAATAACAAATAACAATGATGATGATAATAATAACAACAATAATAATAATAATAGTAATAATAATAGTAATAATAATAATAGCTAAAAAAATAAAATAATAAAAGCAGTAGCAATACTGATGGCTGTAATAATAACATACAGAAATAATAATAGTACTAGTAAATAGTAATTACAATAATAATACAAGTACTAATAAAGATAATAATAATAACAATGCCAATGATGGTGACATTGTTGATGACGATGTTCACAATAATAAAAAAAAATAAATAATAAATAAAATAAAATAATAATAATAATAATAACAATAGCAATACTAACAATAATAAATAATAATAATCATTACAATAACAGTAACAGTAATAATATTAATAATAGTAATAGTAATAGTGAATAAAATACTAATACTAATAATGATGATAAAAATAATAGTATTAATAAAAATAATAACCGTTATCATAATAATAATAAAAATAGTAATAATAATAATAATAATAATAATAATGATAATAATAAAATAATAATAACAATAATAAAAATAATAATAATGGTAATGATAATAAGATTGATAATGATAATAATATCAACAATAACAATAATCATAACAATAACAATAAAAGTGACAACAATGACAACACTACTAATAATAACAATGATAATAATGATAATAATAATGACAATTATGATCATGATAAAAAAAAAGTAATAATACAAAATAATACTATCAATATAATAATAACAATAATAATAATAATAATAATAATAATAATAATAATAATAATAATAATAATAATAATAATAATAATAACATTAATAACAACAACAATAACAATAATGATAATAATCTAAAAGACATTCTAATATGATTTCATGAAAGAACAAAAAATCATTTGTAAGTGTGACCAATTACTGCTATTCCTATTAATATTACAAGATAAAACAAAAGTGTTACTAATATGAAAGTTCAGATAAAACTGCGAAAATTACCTAGCGCCATTGGAGAAAAGTTTTTAAGTGTCAAGGGTTCCCATGTCTAAGAGGCAAGGGTAGGTATAAGTGGGCTGTACTTGAATTGTATGTTGTGCTTTTGGAATGTTAGTAACAAACTGACATTATCATGTAATATATAGAAATATACATAGGTATACTTTTGACGGTTTCTTTAAAAATAATGGTGGTATGTATACAAAGATTTTCATAATTTTCAAATGGAATTAGTTATATTGTAATGTCTACACTGACTATATGCTTGATCATCAATAAACCAATATCTAAGAAGCATAAAATTCAAAACAAATTAATAAAGTAAACATAGTTGTGACTTTCTAAATCCAACCCACTATCTCACAGAATGTGTTAAGGAAAAAAATAAATATAGAAAAGAGGATGCAGTATATAAATCATCTCATGAGCTGATGCAAAATAGAATAAGACCCTAAATAAGTACATGGAATTGAGTGCAGATGTTCAGGTATGGTAGTATATATAGAACAAGATCCAATTTCAGGTAATGAGACTGTGACTAATTGTTCCATAAACTTAGCATTTTGATATAATTTCTGTTGAAATCTGAAATAATACAGTCTTCAAATAAGATATAGAACATATCTAATAATGGTGGCCAGTTTTAGTACATCTTTCTCAAATAAAATAAAAATACTTTTAGGCAATACTCTAATCCTAACAGCACCATGAATCTTATACAAAAAGCTCAAAACCTGATATAGACAAAAATTCATATAATATCAAATATTGTTAATAGTCCTTTACGAAAGCTGTGCTTTAGCAATATCAAAGAATTAGGTACTGATGGATTAGTTTAGATGCATATCATCATAATACAGTATTTTCAGTACACTGAAATAAACTAGAGTGGCGATATCAACATTAACTAAAGTTGCGCAGTGTCATAAAATGCCAACAAACGTCCATCATGTTAATTTTCAGGTGCAAAGCTCTTGCCGAACTGCCTGGCTATTTCTCAACAAACATGGAACCAGTCTGAGCTCTACCTTGCCAGAATGTATGTAATGGTGGTTTGCTTGCCTTTGCAAGAGCATCTTCTGAGTAGGTGCAATGATAACTACGTCCATGCTTGCATGCTTTCATCACTATGGTTGATTTCTACAAACAACCTAAACTATATCTACATGAAAGACATCGTAAGTAGTCTATCAACACTAAATTTGTTACCAGGATATATGTAAATAATACATCAAAACAAAAAAAATAATATTTAACTCCAGATTAAGCATCAATTTGATGGAGTTTATAAATTAACTGGTATCATGCCTCTTTCCTGGACTAATAGAGGAAAAATCTACATTTATTCACAATAATTTGTATTTGCAGAATCTACTAAATTTGTACCGGGTTTTATTGCAAATATAACCATTGAGAGCTTGCAGGTTGTGCATTGCATGGACAGACCGTTATCTGAATATACCGTTTCTTTTAATAAGGTAATGTGAGATACGTGTGTTCTGTGGTAGAGAATGTTTACATGAGGAAATATATACAGCTGTTCGTTATCAATTATTTCATTAGCAAACGTTTAACATTCGTGGTCAGATATTAATAATAAAATTCAACACTTTCTCACATTTTTCTTTGGTTTGCGCTTCGTTCATGGATTGCTGACTTGCAAAAACGAAAGGCACAGACTTTCACAACGAGATATTTTCAGGAAAACTACAGTTTTTATGAATGCCTTTAGTAATGTCTTACTTGAGCATGGCCACTTCTTAGTTGTTCGTAGAGTAATGAAGATAAAACGGCGCCTGAACAGCTCACTCTCACGCCAGACGCAGCCATTCCTCCCTTAGCAGGTTCGATACGCTTGATCAACTTTCGAAAGTCTCTCATATTTACAGACAACAG